GCGACTCCACGTTCTTGCCGGAACAAATAGCCATTGATCTCGAAGTGACTGTTATCAATGACAAAGTCAAGGAGGCATCGAAGATCTTGTTCACGAAAGGTTCGAGGAACCTTAGTTTGACGGCGCCATTTTCCTTTGAACATACGGCGTCGATGATCTGACTTCAATTCGTACACCGACCATTGTGAGGATCGGCGGAGGCCAACTACTTGATCATAACGATGAAGAAGCACCTGTAGTGCCTGATGGAAACGCTCCGTGGGAATGGATGTGAAGAAACCGGAAAGGTCCTGAGACACCAGGTGGATGTATTCGGCGGGATCTGTCTTTGACAGCGCGTCCCAAAGCTGTTGGACAAGCCCCTGAACCGAAAGCTGACCTGGTATGTCTGGAAAGGTGACTTTGGTAAGTTCAAATATGAGGGCACCGAAGACCGTGAGGAAGGGTGCTGCCCACGTGCGAAAGAAAGAAATGATCGGTCTTGCTTTCTGCCAGTCCTTGGTCGGTTTGGGAAGGATGCGGGCTGTAGGCAACGGTGCTTGGAGTCGAAGTCCCCACGCGTAACGCTGATGTAGGAGAGAAGGTATCGTAGTGACCACTTCTGAGCGAAAGGATGCTGCAGATTCACGACACAGCGAAAAGACTTCTCCCGAGCAAAAGGTCTTGTGCATCAGTATGGCAAACAACGAAGGACAAATCACATGTGCACGAGAGGGAAAATGATCCGCTGGAATTACAACCCACGAGGACAGAGAAACCACGGTGCGCTGTAGTGATTCGGATGTCCAGTGAGCACGATCATGAAGGTTGGAGCGATGGGCATCAATCAACTGAGTCATAACAGGCCGTAGATCAGTAAGGAGACTGGATCCATGTACATGCCACCGACGAGCTAGTTTGCGAAGCTGTGTGGTAAAACGCTGATGCAGCATGTCAACATCGCCAAAATATTGATCCTTCATGGACGCGGTCATGATGTCAATGTCGATGTCTGCATTGATGCGTGAGAACTCATCTACCATTACTACATGTTCATGTGCACGATGTAGGAGGTGGTCATCAATGTCTGAACAGCGACACGGAAAAGATATGTCAGGAGTCCACCTGCGTTGCCATGTGCGGTAGTTGTAGATCCTGTCCCCCAAGGTAGCACTGCGAGTTTCCACCACCCGGATCTTTGGAAGAAATAGGGAGGGAAACAAGTCTCGATGCGAAGCAACCCAACGTTGTAACCATGTGCCAAGCTGAGCTTTCCAATTCCGTACATGTAGAGGTGGGAGAAGTAGTTGTGTCAAAGTGCTTGGTGATTGAAGTTGTCGTTTGTGCATTACCTGGGTGAGGAGCTTCTGTGCCTTAGAACGAAAAGGCTCGTTGACGAAGACGGAGAGTCGTAGGAAGTAGTAGAGCTGAGTAGGTGGAAAAGCCGCCGACAGTAAGTCTCGCATAGTCTGGAACGACGCACCTGTGTTGGATCCCAGCTGATAAAGAGTGGAGTAATGCGCTTGAATGTCATCCAACATTTCAGGTCGTAATTGCCGTTGAAGATCCGGATGTAGTCGTCGTCGGAAACGTTTGTGTAGCCCGAGTGAGGTGGGAGATGACAACGAATGACGCCGAAAGTCAACCAGATGCTCACAGAAGCCAATTTTTCGAAGAAGTCTATGTACCCAGGGAGCATTCAAATGCGGACGTAGCAAGTATTGCCACTTGCTTTCCCGGACCCAAACCGAGGAAATGGGAAGTTTGATCTCAACCGGAATGGCACAGAAAAGCCAGTAAGTGTTGGATCGCTTCCAGTAGTGAAGTGCAGGTTCGAAGAAGGCATGGCGTCCCCGAAGTAGTTGTAGAAATTTGCGACTGCGTGAGTGTTCTCGTCGAAGAACATCCTGATCAGTTGCTCCAACGTAGTATGGACTGTGCCATGGAGAAAGTCTGATGTAGACGCATGGTTGTTGATGGCGACCTGGATCTTGAATGAAGTCATAGAGGTCCGGGAAACGTGTCCGTAGTGAGCGAAGGTGTCTTGTGTCCGCAAAAGTGGAATGCATGATTTCACACAACAGAGACGTCTTGTAGAAGTGAAGAACCTCGAAAAACGGCGGGACATACCCATAATCTTGAGAAATGAGACGCTGCAACAAACTGATCAATAAATAGGCAGTGCACCGGCACCTGTGAAGTTCATACCTGTTGGCCACAGTGTGATAAGACTGCGACATGGAGTGAATCGGGATCTGAAGCGCGATCCGAACCACAACTAGTACTTCCAGAATAAGGCCCAGCCAAGGTAGCCGCTCAACTGATTCATATTCATCCATTGGTATCCACGGTGGTGGAAGTCCAGGAAAGCAGTATTGCCAGCACGTAGAGAACATTGTCAACGAGTGCAGAAAGGTATCTAAGGAATGCCATTGTGCAACATCATCATAGATTCCACAGCGGCGAAGCTCAGCCAACATGGTGAACATGCAACCAATGAAATCTACAATGTGGCGGCGACAGGAATGCAAGCGGCAATTAACACCAAGCAATTCACAACGCAAGCAAAGACAAGCACATCATCAAACAAGTGCAGAGCAAGAAGAGGACGGACAAGTTTTGAACCATTCATCAATCATGACACTGCTGCCACTCCGGGCTCATAAGTGAACGAAGGTAACTGCTCGCCCTGTGAGTAAGCGGGCAGTCACGATGAGGTGACACAACGCCTTGTCAGTGAGCTTGGTGAGGTAGCCAGGCTCCAGTCCCCACAGAGCCGCCATCGCCCCAAACGTAGGTGCGTGTCCTTTTGGGATGCGTTGACGCGCCTGAAAGAGCTGGGTCGACATGGATTCCAAGGACTTGTTGCCGTTGAGACGGGATGGGTGATTGGCCCACTTGATCAATGACGCCAAAGTAGTGGTGGTGGGCGATTGCTTGAGATACAAGCGTGGTTGATCAGTCCATGTGTAGTACTTGATGACGTCTGCAGGCGTGCTGTGCATGGTGAGCAATTGTGACGCCGCCGGCTTGGAAGGCGGTGAAGAAAGTCCGTGCAGAGACTGCATGATTCGGGGTTGCACTGCGCCATCAAATGACTTGCCATCAAGGGCTGCTGCACTGACCGTAGGTAGGGAGCTGGTCGGTGACGAAGATTGTGTGTGATTGGTCGGTGGTGCTGTGACCAACTCTGCATCATCCTTCTGGGTTGGCACCGTAGGGGAAGTCGAAGCGCGTAGCGATGCCGAATACTGAGCCTGTAGCAACTCATGAGCTCGATTTAGATCATTGAACTTCTTGACCATGTCTTCCGTTTGGGTAGAGGGCGTGAGAGTCGCGTGTTGCTGCTGAAGGAACTGAAGCACCAAGTTGGCCAAATGGTCATGAACCTTGATACGCTGGTTGAAGTCGCCAAGGTTGAGCCCCAGTGAGCTGGCAAGGTCCTTCTCTAAGGTGAGCAGGTTGATCGACTGTGATCGTCGTAGTCGTTTGGAACAGGTACTCCAAAGTAGGGCCTCGGTGCGAGTGCGAAAGCCTTCCCATGTCACGAACCTGCCGTGAGCAAATGGTCGGAGCAGCCAGTTGGTGATGCCCCCGTGAATGACCTGAACCAGGCGAACGTCACGAATGTCCATGCCGGACATGTCACGTAGGTTGTTGTGCGGGGTGTTGGCGACCGTCATGGGCAGGCTGAAGTTCTAGAGCTGGTTGATGTCTAGCATGCCATCTCCAGGTGTCCAGTCAACCGGTGGTGTAAGCCATGCTTTCTGAGGTCGAACTGGCAGGGCTGCAGGGTATCCAGGCGATGGTGTAGCTTGAGAAGGAGTGACCGGTGGTGGCATCACGGGCGTGATGAACTTCGCTGGCGTGGGCTCTGGAGGAACCGGTATCATGTAGTTGACCGGTGGGGTTTGGAATCGATTGATAATTGCCTGGCATCACCGGAAAGTTGTTGCTGGAGTTGTAGCCTGAATTGTGTTGCCAGGATACCAGGTTGTTCCAATCCATGCCCTCCGAGACCTGATTGTCATTGTGTTCGCGTCGGCGTGCTTTGCGAGCTTGAGGGGAAGGACTCCGATCCCGTCTGCGCCGTGTTCTGGATCTGTCACGATCATCCCGTCGAGACATGATGGCACAACAAACTCAAAACTGCGACACCTCAATCTTGAGAGAATCGAATCCGACAAGATGCAAGTCAACGCAAGTTCAAGCCAAGCACAGATCAACACGCGGTCATGCAGCCACCAGCAGCGATTGTGAGACTTAGCTATGATCTGACGGCTGTCTTCCCTTTAGTGAAACCTCGTTCCTGGTTAAATCAGAAATTCCGCTGTTCTATGATAAGCACGTTGAGGTCAAATTTTCCGACAGAGTCGGCCCGGGGTCACACAATGGGTACACCCGAGGGTTCCCCACGAATGGGGTGTACACACTTAAACTCCAGATGGAGGGTGCTAATCTTTCGAGTACAACTGATGAGTCTCGAGTACAACTGATGAGGCTCGAGTACAACTGACAAGTCTCAAGTCGGATAAGGTTCGGCTGGCAGGTCACTTGGCTTCACTCTAGTGTCGAAAACGTTACAAGTTCCAACATGAAGCACACACAGCGAGCGAAAGAAGAGGGCCAAATGGACTTTCAGAAACAACACGATTGCAGGTACGTCCAACGGCGTCCCGTTGGATTTCACCAGCAAAGAAGGGCGTCTTTCGTTGGCGCAGGTCCCTTCAATGCTGCCCGCGCCCCCTGCTACTAATTGTGGTGACAGGGTATTCTGCCACTCCGCACACACACACACAACCACAAACAGAAACAAAAGTACAGACAAAAGAACCAAACACACACACACACACTGTCTACAACAATGTGTATAAAGGGTGTGTGTGTAAATAGATGCTATACAGCATATGCACAGCCACACCAAACACACACAGGAACCTCATCTAACAATATGTCAAGTGTAAACCTCAGGCCTGAAGTCAACTTATGCACCTGGCAGAAATGAAGTGCGGCCAACAGTCCAGCAGCTCTGTCGTCACCTCCCCGCTCAGAACGTTCCACATCCTAGCATTGCCAAGAGGTCGACCGACCAGTGCCTTTCTCGGGAGTCTGAGTTGCCAAAAAACTGTTGGAACTCTGAGTGCCCTCAGTGTCGCAGCCGCCTGACACGTACTCTGCAGGTGACAAAGCCTGAATTGTTTCAGGGACAATGCAAAAGAAGCGGGCACAAAGGACTGGGACCGCAAGACAGTCAATGCCGAATGGCTGAACGGCATTCTTCTTGGTACTTTGGCAAAGGCCCTCGTACATGCATGTCAACTGCGTTATCTTGCTTTCATTTGCATGGCATTCTGCGATGCAAGCAGTCAATCCCTTGAACAAAATCATGAATGATCAACCACCTTGGTTCCCCCGTATCCTATGTCCCTCGAAGGTACCGGGCGGGCCTGAGGCTACGGTCCAAGCTGGCACTGAGGGCAAAGTTGGTATCCCAGCACACGGACAGGCACTCCACCTGAGTGGGCCGTCTACGACTCTCCAGGTCACATTTGAGTCAGAACTCATGTTAGCCAAAGTCACTGAATCATCATGTCCGCACCTAGGAAACGGTGCGAGAGGCACGTGCAAAAGGGGATCTGGACTGTGCACATGCGCCGGTGAACCACGTGATGAGACCACCAAAGACTTGATCCACAGAAAGAAGTGCCATTCATCAAAGGGCTGTGCTTCATAAGCTGCAACTACATTGAGGCTTCGAACATCAACGCCACACTCCGCACAAGGCATGCGTTGTTGAAATGCGGCACCCTCATTGTACCAGCCATTGCGCTAGCATCTTTTCTTGGTGGATGGCGACGTGAAACTCCGCATCATCAAAATTTACCCAACATAGATCTCCCATGCCTGTCAGACAACACCCCAATCCCAGATAGTAAGGGCTTTGCTTACTTGATGGTTTGAGCAAATGATCCGGCTTCTTGTAGTGCCCAGCCTTGCCTGGCGCCCAAAACCCGAAAGCAGCCTATTCCTGGCAAGCGGCAATTGCAGGTGGCCTCCTCGCGCCAAATCCCACAGCCTTAGAATTTCCCCACGCAAACCACTGGCAGTCGTTCTTCATGATTGATTGATTAGGCAGCTATGCGATTCTATGATTCACATCTCAGCTGGCAACCAGACCGAGAAAAAAAATCTGTAGCAAATCGCTCGTCCTTAACTTACCATAACAATGAAAAGAGCGAGTGCCTGCTAATAGCCCTCAACGTGGCGCAACGCCTGCGAATGAAAGTGGGAACCTCATGTCTCCCAAAACATGTGTCTAGTTGCGCAGGAAAGCCGGGCAAGTGGTTGCCTCCAGCTCTGGCCGAACCGCGTATCGTTGGGTACATGCCCCCTGCTCGAAAATAAGCCTTCCCCTTTGGCGGCCACGGAATTTCGAAGCACACCAAGGTCTGAGCCGTTTGGAGAAGTCCTTATGAGGTTCTCGGAAACCAAAAGGGGCGGCTTCCCCTTGGCTCCTCGAACGTACTTCAAATGGGATTCCCTCAAAAAAGACTCGGCGCACCAATCCAATCCAACACACCCACCCACCCACCCACCCACCCACCCACCCACCCACCCACCCACCCACCCACCCACCCACCCACCCACCCACCCACCCACCCACCCACCCCACCCACCCACCCACCCACCCACCCACCCACCCACCCACCGACCGACCGACCGACCGACCGACCGACCGACCGACCGACCGACCGACCGCCAAACCGACCGACCGACCGACCCACTGGCCGACCAACAGGCTAAGCCGCCGCAGCGATGCATCAACGCTGCCGCTCAAGGCGCGCTGAGATTGCCAGTCCACTTCAAGGCAGCGCACAGCCTGCCTTGGATGCGCTCGTACCGTCAGACCCCACAACAAAGGGCTGGAGGTTTCAGTAAAGCTTTAACTAAGAACAGCTCCCCTCATAAGAATAGTGAAAGTAAAAGGATCAGATTTATCAAAACAATCAAGATGCTACCATCAGGCTGTCCACGGTATTAGTGATTTTAATAGGGCAAATTGAAAGGATGTGCTCCGAATTCGATAATTCAGTACTGCCTGAGAACAGCGACTCCAACAAAGGCAGCAGAAGTGGCTTCACCGGCGGCCCATGAGAACTATTACAATATTTGGAGTTTGTACTGAGCACGAGAATGAACTAGAGGTGCTGCTCTTGCTCAAGCCCCCCGTCATGGATGACGGATTCCCTCAAACCCAAAAGCGGCCGGCATGCTCCAGCACACACTCACACCAGTCTCATGTTCTATGTTTGTTCTGTTGCGATGCCGCCCTCTGCCAGCCATTGTCTGATTCCATATTGTGCAGATTATTGCTGTGCCTGGCAAGCTTGAAGTGAAACATGGCGTCAACAAACCTGTACAGAGCCGGCAAACCGAGGCCACCTGCACCAGAACCCCATTTGTGATGTGGCTGCATGCCAAACAAGGTTGGTGATTCAGCTTGTCGAGCTTTGTCGGGTCAAACAAAAGCCTTTGAAAGAACCCAAGTCAAAACCGGAGGGTGCTCGCAAAGCCGCGCGTGGCCCTCAAAATCGCAGTCTGCCTCACTGCGATTGAGGTCCCACAAAGAGAGCCTGGCATGGCTGCGTCTTCAGGTATGACCCCCGTGTGATCGAACAGCTTGTCCCCGAACATCTTCCAAACCAGCGGTTTTGCATGGAAAGAACGGCAAAGCACTTCACTTGAAGCAGTCAGCACCCCACCCCTTTGATCTCATGCCAACCTCATGTAAAGGCAGGATTAAAACAACATTGGTTGACAGTGATCGACACAAAAGGATTCAGTAAGGGTTAGGATTGGGGAACGCAATGAACAACATCTAGCCTTTGCACCTCAATTGGTCACCATGAGATTGCGACCACGGTATCAAGCATCGGCAGCGCCGCTTGCGATCGCGTCCTCCGCTGAGCACCATGCGAGTCAGCGAGCGCACAAAGGTGAGGCAAAGGGCCTGCCAGGGCGATGGAGCCGTTTTCTCAACTGTGAGGATGACGCATGACGACAATTGTCCCACAGTTGCATCAACCCGATAGTAAACCCCTCCCCCTCCCCCCGACAAGGTTCGACAAGGTTTGGGAGGAGCAAAGTGTTGGGGCTCCCTGGAGGGACCCCCCTAAAACTTGAGGCTGGATGAAGGGATTTGAGGCTTGAGGATTGTCATGAATTTGAGGGGCTTTGGATATGCAAAGAATTTGTTCGTTTGGTGGCCCTGTTTTTTGGGGAAACCAGGAATGTTTGGGGGCAAGTTTGCTGGAGCTATTTAAAGGGGAGCCCTTTCACAAGAAAAGAAACAGCCTGTGATTTTGGTGGCAAGGGGAATGGCAGGGGGGAAACCTTCAATCCGGGGTTCGGGGAGGGCCCAAACATTGTTGGGGAGGGTTCTTTGGGGAAACCTTGTTGGTCCTCTAGTTCAGTAGTGGGAACTGGGGGAAAAGGGAAACCATTTAACTAATCGTTCCTTGACATTAGCCTCTTGAGACCTTCCGTGGTCAAAATGAATCAGGTGCTGGAGTAGTCTGAACTAGCGATCCCCTCATTGAGTGTAACCCCTCAGGGTACCTCAGTTTATATTTAGAGGGAATCCTTGCCGAGTAATTTGATTCGAAACTTGAGGGGGACATTGAACAAGTCACAGGCCACACCTCACACCCGTCTCGAGGCCTTTCATGCCCGTGTTTTGCCCTTTGGCACCGAGTTTGGCAGCTGCCGAGGCATCAGGCATGTGTTCCAAGAACTGGGTTGAGTCAAAACGTCTGCCTCCTCCGCCAGATCTCCAAGAAACGATCCATCGTCCAAGATGTCGGAGCCGCGGGCCAGCTGCTGCTCCTCAAAGCTCAATTCACCGGACTGGGTGCAAGTAGATGGCACCATTCCCCCCACTTTTGCTTCAGTATGTCCTTGTTGAATATAGAATTAGGTGGTCTGTCGTCCACTGGCACCCTGAGGCCCTGGTGTAGAAGGGCGGCGTGAATGCAAGTCTAAACCAAGCTGGAAAGGCCGCACCCCTGAGTGTAGCCCAGCCAGTGCTCAAATCGTAGCCTAGCAAGCTCAGCTCAAGGCATATTGCTTGCTTGCTTGCGTGGTTGCTTGCCCACATGGCGAAGGGCACGATGCATACACGCATCAAAAGGTATGCAGCCCTCCTCAATCGTTCGGTTGCCAAGGCTTCAAGCGAAGGATACTACAATTTATGACGTTCCCTATGACAAGTTGGCTGACTAAGCAATCCCTGCATCAGAAAATAGCGCAGACCTCATGCAAGCGGGCATAGTGTTTGCCAAGGCGCGTTCGCAACAACTCCTCAGCTGTTCGTGTTGACCGAAACTCAAAGCTACCCTAGAATGCTGATGGGTCTTACCTCTCCCCCATTGGCCTTCGTTCTGTGATGGACGGTGCCCTACAGGCGCTGCAGGCTGCATCTTGGAAAAGCTCAGGGAATTCCAGGCCTGATGGTCGTTCAGCATGGTTGTTTGGGCATTTGATGAAACGCTGCTCAAACAGGAGGCCCGTCGGGGAAAAAAGCTGGCTCTGTCATGCCCTGCCCTAAGCACAGGATCAAGAATGGCGATGTTCCACCAAAGAGGCGCAGCAAACAGCAAAACAAAATGACTTACAATCCTGTGCTTTGCCCAAAAGAAGACAAATGAAAACAAACAAACAAACAAACAAACAAACAAACAAGTTTTGCAAGCCAGCCAACAATCCGACGGATAGGCAGACAGTCAGGCAGACAAACAAACACAAAAAAGAACTGAAGAAGCCTGTTAGAGACAGGCAAGCAAACAACTGACAAGCAGAAAAACAAGCAACCAACAATACATAGAAACCGAACAACAAACCAACGAACCAGCCAGCCAGCCTGCCAACGAACCAATACACCAACCCAAACAAACAAACAAACAAACAAACAAACAAACAAACAAACAAACAAACAAACAAACAAACAAACAAACAACACCAACCAACAACACCAACCAACAAGCAAACAAACAACAATCAGCCACCAAACCCCGAAAACAAGCAAGCAACAAAACAAGCAAACAAAGAAACAAAGAAAGAAAGAAAGAAACAAACAAATAAATAAACAAACAAACAAACAAACAAACAAGCAAACAAAGAAACAAAGAAAGAAAGAAACAAACAAACAAATAAACAAACAATCAATCAAACAAACAAACACGCAATCAAGCAAGCAACAACACAAGCAAGCAAGCAACCAACCAAACACGCAAGCAAGCAAGGGAGCGAGCGAGCAAACAAACATACACACAGGAATGCAAACCAACACACAAAAGCAAGCAAGCAAGCAAGCAAGCAAGCAAGCAAGCAAGCAAGCAAGCAAGCAAGCAAGCAAGCAAGCAAGCAAGCAAGCAAGCAGGGCAAGGCAAGGCAAGGCAGGGCAAGGCAAGGCAGGGCAAGGCAAGGCAAGGCAAGGCAAGGCAAGCCAAGAAACAAACCAATAGGCCGGCAGGCAAGTAGACAAACAAACAACAATGGAAACAAGCAACAGGCAGGAAGCAAGTAAGCAAACAAACAAGTCAACAAACAAACACATGAGCAGGCAGGCAAGCACACAAACACAATTGGACACAAACAAATAAAGAGGCAAAACAATAAGCAAGCAAGAAAGCAAACAAGCAAACAAGCAAAAGCAACGGCCCGTTTGATGGACTCCACTTGCAGCATTTGGCCGTGTGGCCGCATCTGGGCTGCAGCTTGGCCTTGAGCTCACCCACAGAGCAGTCACCAGGGAGATCTTCCTCCTGGGACAGCATTCTATCTCCCACGTCAAGGATCCAGAAAATAAAGGTCAAACTTTCGGACCCATGAAGCTTGGTGAAATGTAATTAGACCAAATGGAAAGCCAAACAAAAACAGGTTGGCTTTGGTTTGAGCTTCACTTGAAACATGGGTTCCGTAGATTTGAATAATCAACTTCAGAACAAGCGGACCAAAAGCTGGTACTGTGGCAAGCCAGTCCAGCCCCAACTGTGCGGGAGGCGCCGCTTCGCGTTGAAAACCTTAAACACGCACCAAATGCAGCTTTTGTCCCGACAACCTTGCCACCCCCGAAGTACAGAAACAACTTTTCCAGGCCAGCTTTCGGGATAAGCAAAGCTTCGCTTTCAAGCACATTTTAATAAAGATTGCACTTGCCCACGCAACTATCACGGGTTGGTGGCTCGCTCTTTGGCAAAGGTCAACTCAAGTGGCCTTCTATACTCAAGGGAAGAAAAGCAAGCCAACCGGGTTCATCTGATAATCTGATGAGCTGATGCAATGTTTGCCAGCATCATGCGAATATGTTGTTTGCCAGGTATGCATAAAAAGGAGCGTGGCTGGACAAGTTGATGCTTTGATAGCTGCAGGGCATCACGTAACTCATATGACTCCAAGCTAGACTCGGCATGGGTTACCTCCATGTGACAAGAGGCAAGAAAGCGTCAAACAAGTCACCTCAAAACACCCAGTGCATTAGAAAGCAGGCAATGCTTGCACAAGTGCTTCCTGGGAACTGTAGCATGCTATGCGCCATGTCATTCGCGCATGGACAATTTGCTTCGGCAGCTCAACTAGAATACACACCTCCACTGCTCTTGAATGAGGCCTTGATGACCAAACATCCGCGAAGGAACCTTCACGCTGAGTGTCGCAACAGCCCTTTACCAGGTTGCTACTGGGAGGGACGCCATTTGGCTTTCTCCTGGTTCCATCAGCCAAGGCACCAGGAGCACGGCGCCGCTCAAAGCCACCACTGCCACTCGCACCATGGCATCTCAAGTCCCTCTCACTCCCACACGTTTCATTGAAAACCAAACGGGTCTGGATTTTGTCTGGGAATTTTCCCCGTTTTGCTTTTGGTTGTTTTCCTGGATTTTCTGTATTGGAACTGGCAGGTGCGATCTCCCTTGGCTCTGCTTGGTTTGACTAGTGTTGCAGCAGCGCTGCCAACATCCCCGGCATAGTTTTAACTTTTCAACATCCTAGGTGGGCTTGGTGGTTCAGGGTGGCTGTCGGTTTGGTTTGTTTGTGGAAGGGGGGTGTTAATGTCGAGCTTGCTTTGGGTTTGTTCAGGGTTGGTGCAGTGTGGGTTTGGAGCGGGTGTAGTTTGGGTTGCTCTAGGGTGGGTTTAGTGGGGGGTTAGGGTTGGTATAGGGTTTGATTAGGGGGGGTGGTTTAAGGCTTGTTTAGTGGGTTTAAGGATCGGCTTAGGGTGCTTCGGGGTTTAGGGTTGGTTTAGGGTAGGCTTAGAGTTGGTGTAGGAATAGTCTATTACTGGTTTAGAGTGGGTTTGCTTAGAAGTTCCTTTGGGGAGTCTTGCTGGTTTCAGGTTTCTTTAGGGTTTCTTTAGGGTTGGCGGTTGTGTTTTAAGGTTGGTTCTAGTTTTAAGTGGCGGTTTAGGGTGGTTTTAGTGGTGGTTTAGGGTTGGTTTCGGGTGGTTTTGGGGCTAAAACGTGGGTTTAGGGCGGGCGTTGGATTCATTGAGTGGGGTTCGTTCAGGATTGTTGGCTTGCCTTTTGAGGTCATCACAAAGCCAAACAACAGTCCTGTAACGAAGCGGGGGTTGGGGGGGGCGCAGCCCCCCCCATCTACAGAAACCTGGAAGTAAGAAGCCACCAACCAAAAATCCAAGAAGCCAAAAGCCGGTGATGCTGAGGTGTTACTGGTGATGGCGAGGATGCGGAAAGCCGAAGCCACAAAACAGTAAAGCCAAAAACTCTATTTGTAACTTTTGACGCGACTCAGCAAATTAGTTCGGCCACTCTGCCAGATTTCATTCCGTCCTTGTCAGCATGCACAGCTGCTAGAGGTGGCTCCCTTTTCAGGGGGAAGACCTCCGTCTTGATCTGTACGCATCCCGCTGGACAATCTCTGGCAAGCACAGTCTGTGACTAACACCGGGTGGTGGGCGGCCATGGAGAGTCAAACCACAGGAGTGCATTTTCGCCTGGACAAATCCAACATGTTTGCTCAAACAAGCTTTCGTGCACACTCCTGCACTCGATTGTCTGTAAATGCAATGTCCGCACCCTGGCCACGTCATCTTTGAGCCGCTGTAAAAAACATTAAGTCCGGCTGCTGGTCTGGCGTTGGTCATGTATCGACCCTTGGCTTTCATCCATGAGCGGTGCTGGTGCGGGATGCGTCGACTTCAAATGACGGCCCAACCCTGGGAAATGGGTTGTTTCACAACAAGAGACGAACAGAATGGAGAAGCAACCCGTAGATGAGTCAGCCGTTGAAAGCTGCCGAGGTTTCTATTCAATCAAGGGACCCCTGCAGCAAACACAGCGCGCACTCATGTGTATGTGTGGCTGCCCAATTTGTTCGGCGAAGGCGCGTGGGTGGTATGCCCATGCCAGGCGGCTTCTTTGCGCCGCCACCGGAAATTCAAACTGGGTAACATGCCTCTGCCAAGCGAAGCAGTGAATCATGCAAACATAATGTTGCATGTGGCAATCATAGAAAGCTCCTCCATTACCTTTGAAAGAAACGCATCCAGCTCCACTCAGCGCGGCTGACTTCAAACCTGCACTTGAAAGCAAAAGGAGCCGAGCAAGCTGCAAAGGCGCGGAGCCTTCTTGCTTCTTGCGCATCGCCACCCTTTGAACAACAAGAAACGACAAGTGGAAGTCCTTGTCCGGGTATTAACTCCCACCCAGAAGGAGCGGCAGCCTGCGGATGGTCGCGCATTTCGGCAGCCTGCGCTGGTCGCGCATTTCGTCATTGTTCACGACCTGCCCAAATGGCACAAGGCAAGTCCCCCCAATAACACCCAATACCCAGCCAAAGTGGTATTCTTGCAGCGCCCCTTACGAAATGATCGTACAGTTCCAATTCTCCTGCTGACCTTACTTATTTTTCCAAGCCCACTGCAATCCACTACATAAACCTGCTCAAAGAACTGTGTAGGTCACCCATTTCGTAGGGCTCCAAAAACCATGAAGCCCAATGGATCACAGCCCCACTATCCACACTTGGGACCTCTGGAGACGACGTGCCAACTGAGCTGCATCTCCTGTTGGGCGCTCTTGGGCCATAACTTCCCCACCCCCAAAATATGGCGTAGGCCCACGAACGCCAGTGCCAGCGATGCTCCAGTTCAGGGCCCTCACCTCGGCACGCTGAGCTTCAGCAAAGGTCACAAGGACACCTCGTGGTCGACCACGTAGTAGCCTCGTGCAAAGCTGAGGCATGGCCACGCTCAAAATATCTCAATGCATGAGCCATGATATGAAACAGAATGCCCAGGAAGGCCATGAGGCTCACGCCTGACTCCCCCGTTGTTTTCAATCAGCATGACTTGAGCCTAGGCAAAGCAAATGTTCTTTTTACTCAAGCTCCAAGCGCTTTGCTGGTACCCTTGCTCTCTGCTTCGTATACGTGTTGCACATCGACACAGATCGACATGCTTACCTTGTCGGCGTGGCAACACAACCCAAGATGGTGTCAGCGGTTGGATGGATCCCAACTCAAGATCTGGATTCCCGTAGAATTGCTTGGGCCTGTGCAAAGAAACCAGATTGTTGATGGATTGATGGATGCTGCGACACACTATGTGAATAATTGTGCAAGGCTGCATCGGGCCATTCAGCGTTCTGGGGTCCAGGGACTGCCTGAAACTGGCTGTGAACTGGATTTGACCTGTGCACAATATTGCACAATACCTAGTAAAGATAACACGTTGCTCTATTTGTTTCACGAATCCATTTTTGCAACCACTGTACTTATCTTATTTACAGGTGCTGTGCAAAATGTGCGGTTCAGCTCTTCTATCTTTTGGAGCAGGTATCTCCTGTCTGTTTGTGTTTTTGTTTTGGTTTCTGTTTTTGTTTGGGGGGGAGCGTTTACATTCCTTGTTGTCCTTTCGCTCGCAGCTAGCCGTGGCGGAAGAGTAGGCTTGGCACGGTACATTGCCGACGGGGATCACAGGGGGGACCGTGTGGACACGGTTTTTCTCGGTCCCGGCGAAAAACAGTATATCTGACGACTAAAGGGGCATCGATTGGTTTGGCTATCTTTGCACGCGCACTCTTGCCAAACGTTAGCGACCTTGAAACATTTGGTTCGTCCGGAGGCAACCTCAAATGCTGGTCTCTCTACAGCGCCTCTCTTCTTAGATTGCTTGAGGTGCAATGAACAACCAACAAGGAAAACAGCAAAAACAAAGTGGGGCAGTGTTTTGCCCGCCCCTGCAGCAGCAACCCAGTTTGCTTAGAACATGCTAAACAGATCCAAAAAGCAACTGAAGTCTCGCTCTTTTGCGCGAGAACTCTGCCAACCGGGCCTGTCTCCTTGTCGCCCTTCAGCTGGCACAGGTGCAAACTTCTGGCCTCCACCATCCCCAAGTCCACCTCCCGAAGGGCCTCCAAGACACGGCGGAAAAGCGGCGCTTGGGCAAATCAACGGGCTTGGATGGCCATGGCTGCCACCTTCAAAAAAACAACTCAACTGGTTCGTTTGTTCTTCAAGCCAAAAACTGAAAGCGAGAAATGACACGTTGAACGTTTGCAAGTCTTGTTTTGAAGTGGATTAATTAGGCGAGCATGTCAGGTCGGCTGGCAATGGGGTCCAAACCAAGTCATGCCTGAAAGAAAAAACCTTGCCTTGTTGTCCTATCATCATGGGCCTCTCACGTGAATTCAATTGCGCCATACAACCTGATAACAAAGCACCATATTCGTTGATTTGTTCTCAATATATTATTTTCTGAAAACACAACCTTCATCCACTATTCTTGAAACAGGCAACTTCCATGTGTGATACATCACCTGGATTTGACGCCATTTGTGTAATCGGGATGAACCCCGTTGAATGAACCCTGTTTACATCTCATTTGTAGCGATGGAATGACCCTTTAACAACAGCTTGAAAGCGTGGACTTGCAGGCCTGTGTTCAAACAGGCGCGGAGTGCAGGAGCAACCTTGAAGTCTATCCAAATGAAGCCACATTCTGCAAATCTCGTCAAATGGTCACTAGGACAACATGTAACTTGCTACTGCTACTTTATGCAACCAAACCTGACACACCAGTGTCATTTTGTAGTGGAACATTTTGAAGTCGGACCACTGGCTATGAAACCTACCGATGTTTCAGATGGCTTGGACACCACTTTTTCGGATCACTAAGCAAAGCTTTGGGCACAAACGCTGCGCTCTGCTGCAAAGGTTGGCAGCAGGCACTGGGCCCCGGGTCAGCATTTAGATCACGTAAAGCTGGGAAAAGGAGCGCGCACGGGCAAGAGTTTGTGGGGCAGGAACGCTGCCGAGTCTGCTTCCTGCAACACGGCATGGTGGTTTGGCGACTGGGGCACCGAAACAAAACCAGGTGCATCGAGGCAAACAAATGGTATTGCAATCAGCTTGTAGATTGGTGTTTCATAACAAGCCTGCTGGGCAGCACTTGCCAGCTACTCCGCATGGGGCTGGAGCCGGGCGGTGCAGAGAGGAAGTTTTCAGGGCTCAGGAAAAAGGAAGACTTGCGGACCTTCGCAGGCTGGACTTGGGGTGTTTCGAAACTTGCTGCCAATAAGACAAGAGACATTGAGCGCAAGAAACGCCAGCCGTTAAAGGGTTTAACCGGGTCCTTGCAACTTGCCCTGCAACATATTTGGGTTCAATGACTGACTGTACATCCCGGCCAGCCTCCCAGCAGCTCTTTGGGATGCTTTTCGTGCCCTTGCGGCGCCGGCATTTTGCTAGCGTCACGTGGGGCGTCCAGCCTTAGGCAAAGGCTAACCCAGCTCACGATTGGGGACTCCGGAGAGCCAGGGAAGCCGGCATCTTCCAAACCAGCTTTGCGCTTTTTCGGGTTGCGGAGATGGTGGGGCAACATGACGCCGACTCAGAAAACTATACACCTTCTTGGTCCGAACTTCCCCAACCAAACTCCCAAATTCTGGAGGGTTGACTGGAACCAGTGGATCAGCACAACAAGCGTGACCAAGCCTTTGACGCCCCCAGTGAAACATCTCTCGTGCTCCAGCAATGAATTCACATCTTGGCAGAAGCCGTGGAGGATTCCTCTCCATACAGTGTCATACACGCAGGGCTATGTTTCGTGCTGGCCCTGGAGCCAATGCGAAGCGGGCTTTGATCTGAGCTGTAGTGCTGGTGTAGTGACCCCCTTCCCGCGTGACCCAAGCGCCAAACCACACGTTGACAAACGGAAGTTGAGGCTAACAATAGCATGAGCAGTGAGCTCAATGAAAAGCAATACCAGGGACAAAGCATCATGATGCAAAGTAAAGGCTGGGACAAGGACCGGTCGGTGCAACCACTATAATTTAACTTTAAGGTGCTCTTGCTCATAACTGCAAAACAAGGAAGCGAAGAACAACTATGAGCGTGACACGGGGTTCGCTTGAGCCCCCCCCCCCCGCCCCCGCGCTCGGCGATAGGCTGACAACACGCAGCACCGCCTCTGCCCAAGACCGGTCTTCACAATCGAACGCCGCTGCCGTAGACCGTTTGGGGCCCGCTTGTGGGTGGGGAAACTTTTCTTTTTCGGGGTCAAAAAAACTTCTTCTCTTAGATTTCCTACTAGAAAGAAAACTCAGAAGATCAAAAAAACACTATTTCGTGGCATGCGCAGCACTTTCGCAAGGTCCGGACACAAAGATCCAAAAGCATGTGCAAAGCCAGCCTGGGTTGCCCCATAGGGCTGCGTGGCCTTGCGCTGAGAAGGGCTGCTGCAAGCCAGAAGCAAGCCTGCCAGGCCTGAGAGTTCTTGACGGCGTCACTGTCGCAGTCATCGCGCGGATCTGCCTGCGCTGCTGGAAAGGGGTCACCGCAACCTTCCAACAAAGCCGGTCAAACCCATGCTCCAAGTCTCGCTCCTGCCTCTGTGGTAGCATCTTCAGAAATGGAACTGGGCATCACCAAGTTGAGGACAGGCTTGCACCGGCGGACCGGCGAGGCGGCCTGGCAGGGCCGGGCCAATAGTGCTCCCCATCACGTGCCTGACCCGGACAAAAAATCACAACGCGCCTCGCGCTCACCATCCGAGAGCGCAGCAACTTGCGCGCACAGGCGGACATATTGATCTGCCTGCGCAGTAAATCCCTTCCTGCCTCCAGGACAGGTGAGTTCAGCGGAGCCCTTGGCATGGTGTTAATCTCTTGGAGCCCTCATGGCGCCGTGCAGGGAGCAGATCCAGTTCAGCGACAACTTACACAAGACAAAAATCACACCATATCAATCAGCTTCAACATGCTCAGCACCATGGATCTGCCTTGAGCGGGGCATGAATGCAATTCTTTTCTCCTGTCTGCGCATGTCGCGCGGTACCGGCTTTGTGGCAGGCGCACACTTTCGCAAGGTCAGGTACAGATTTCGCGGCAGGCGCAGCACTTTCGCAAGGTACGGTGCAGATTTCGCGGCAGGCGCAGCACTTTCGCAAGGTCGAGTACAGATTTTGTGGCAGGCGCAGCACTTTCGCCAAGGTCAGGTACAGATTTCGCGGCAGGCGCAGCACTTTCGCAAGGGGTACGGCACAGACTTTTCATTACACAAGAAATGAGGTCTGGATCAGCGGGGTCTGGATCAGGAGGGTGAATTTCAGCAAAGTCCATGGGTCATTTTGAGAACATTTGAGGGCACGCATCCCCACGGTTTGGTGCAGTTTGGTTCCGTGGCCTTACCTCAACAAGGAGCTCAGTAATACAAACAAGATTTTTCAGTGTTGACCAACTGAAGTGTTTCTTTGACTTGTTGTAAACACATATGACAATTTCCGATGGTTGCCGAAAACTGACGATTAGCTATCGTTTTGCCAAAATCGGTAGAGGCACTTTAATCTACAGTAGTGCCCGCTAAAATTTCATTATGACGCGGCGCACACACACAAAAAACAACTGCCATCGAACACAGAGCACACCAGAGCACAGCCAGCAGATTCCAGATGGCGCCATCAGCTGACCTCAGAAAGGCAGCAGTGACAGAGAGTGTACCAGAAACAAGGAGTCCAATTGCCAAAATTGCACACCAAGCTGTCAGTTGAGTCAAATGTAGGCAAGCGCGCTTTTGGCCGCGTCGCGGCTCATGCGAGAAAAGGCCACTGCCAGCTGTGAATGGCCGTGGTCGGATGAGGTTGCTGAAGCTGCCAGGAGTGCACCACAATTGGAGAGGTTTGACTGAAGGCCCCTTCTAGCTTTCTGATGATTTCAGTTTTCCAGAGTTGAGCATTTCTGAGAAGAGGCTTCCTTGCACCTATTTGTGTAATTCTCCAGCACAGGCAACACTGATGTGGTTTTTCTGACAAATACTAAATCCACGTTGTCCAAATCCAATATGTCATTGAAGCCACCGCCAAGCGCCACCCAGCTCAGGCAGACTGCGCAGATACCACCAACGACCGGAACATACTCCGTGTGGTTCTGAGTTCGCAGAATTGCCGTTGCACAGCATCACGCACTTGTTTTGTAGCTCCAGCTCTGAACAAGTATCTTGCCAAATCAATCCCCCGTTGTATAGCAGAATCAAGTGACAAAGCTGGATCGTCTTGAGGTTCGGAAAGAATTGAATTCCCTATGCGCTGTGCCTTCGGGCGCCAGTAACCTGAATGGTCTACAAGACAGCGTTCAGATTCCAGAAAGCCCGTTTCCAAAACTGCGTAAGCCTTCAGCCAGAAGAAGCCCTTCCAAAATGCCTGAAACACCATTTTTGCCGTCATCAGGCAATTTGTCTCTGATGAAGCGCCTTGCGCCGCACATTTGATGCTCTCACGCATCTCTAGTGTAAGAGCATCGGCAAACAATAACGTCCCAGATAGTGTGGGGTAGATGGATCCGTCTTGCCCTGTCACTTGCACATTGTGAACAGCACTGCCATAGGACTGTGCTGCTTGTTTTATATCCTTATACGCATCCAGCTTGTGTTGCGAAGCCAAAGTCCCCAAATTTAAGCATTCAATGCCAATGCAACAGCAGCAGGTGCATATCCCATGCAGCGGCATCGGAACAGAGGTGTGTTGTCCCGGTGATGCGCATTGCTTGTAGAACAGCCTTCAATTGAACTTCCAAATGCTCAGCCCTCAATGAGCCAAAGTAAGCTAACTGAAAGAGGCGACGTCCAAGTATCCCAGCTTCTATTTTCATGAAGGGTCTCGATCTCAAAATACCAGTGTTAGATAAGTGAAATCATCAACCAATGCCACAGCCTTTCGTCTTGACTCTGAACGCTGAGAGCTTTCAAATCCCAACACATCCGCCAAATTCAGTGTGTCTGCCGTGATGCGAAAATTGCAGTGCCCGTTCGCCGTCAACCACAACCTGTTTTGTTTGTATTGATCAAGAGACAGAAAGTCACTGGTTCGACAGCGGTCGACTGGGTTGACAAAACTTGACAGTTCTGACTCAATATTGCCTCATGTGACCACACCCCGGATATAGGTGATGTCCGACGTGCCTCTATCTCTGCTGACTCCTCCAACTTGGCAGGCCAAACCCCACGTCCAGCCAACGAGTGGAAGTATAGAAACCAGGTCGGATCTTCAGTGTTCAAGGGCTCACCGAGCACAGACCAGAGCATTTGACAAAATCGTGTTACGGCTTCGCTTTTGCTATGTGTGCTACCTCATCACATTTGCCCAATAGGTTGACGAGCAAGTCCAGCAGGAGTGGTCTCAAATGTTCGGGTGCGATCACCTTATTGGCTACTCTGCCCAACAAAGGTCTGTCGACACCAACTAGTGATAATTCCCATAGTAAATGCTTCGGCCGTGGCCTCAAGTAGTTGAGAAAGCCTTTTACCCGTGTATCCAAAATCAAATTGCTGATGTTCACCTTCAGCCAGGTCTTCAAGTAATTGTCGCCACAAGACTTGATCTTGCCAGCAACCAAATCGGCTATGGTCTGCTCAGAGAACTTGAATAGCACCGTTCAGAGTTCTTAACGTGCCTTTGGGGCGGGCTGGGGATGCTGGGCACTGTCACTTCAGCGGCCGGCATTCTTGACATCCCCGCCCCAAAAAGTGCTGAAATTGGACGCGGGAAATCCCCCTTCACATGCCCGAAGCACGGCCCCTCTCCGATCACCAGCCCAGGACCCAGCATCCCCAGCATCTCCAACATCCCCAGCCCACTCCATCCAGGTGCCCAAAAACTGCTCAAATTGGACGCGGCAAATCCCCTCTAGTATGGCCCAAAAACGGCCCAAAAACGTCCTCCCCGCCAGCACCCCCCTATAACTCACTTCGTTCGCCTAAACTGAACTCAGCCTAAGCCTCCAAAGGAGGCTGGCTTTCGTGATGTATCAGATCTCCTTCCTTTACTCCCTTTCCTCCCTTTACTTCCTTTACTTCCTTTACTTCCTTGTCTTCCTTTACTTCCTTTACTTCCTTTACTTCCTTTACTTCCTTTACTTCCTTTACTTCCTTCCTTCCTTCCTTCCTTCCTTCCTTCCTTTCTTCCTTTCTTCCTTCCTTCCTTCCTTCCTTCCTTCCTTCCTTCCTTCCTTCCTTCCTTCCTTCCTTCCTTCCTTCCTTCCTTCCTTCCTTCCTTCCTTCCTTCCTTCCTTCCTTCTCCCCATGGGAATGAGAAGACGTTGTTTTTGATCCCTAATAAGTTGTTTTATTGATCCCTAATAAGTATTTGTTTGATGCCCTCCCCCCGTTTGTAGTAAGAACTCGCTCGCTAAGCATGGCCGCAGCAGCTTCCGGTTGTCCTAGTCGGCAATTGAATCACAAGCTGACCTTTTGGACGGCCATGTGACTTGACATGGTTGCCACAAGTAGGGAACCCCAAATCCCGGCACCGCCGCTGAACAATCAGCTCCTTCATGATGTGCAAAACAAAGAGCTTCAAATGAGAAAAGGGGACTTCTCCTTGCACACGCAGTTCTGAAAACGATTCCGCGAAAGAGTTCACAGAACAGCTTTTCGAACCAACCCATGCTCATTTGACAAGTAGGGAGGGGTTCCACGAACCAATGAGCCGACGTCTTCGTCGAACCGTTGTGATGATTTGATTCGCATCCGAACTTCTGCGAACGGGTCTCCCCTTTTCGTGGTGCAACAAGTGTGCATGATGAAACAAGTCTTGGCATGGGCAGAGTTGTATGCACAGCATGCCATTCCTGTAAGCCTCAAACCTGCCCAAGCCCAGGTTCAGCCGAGGCGCCATCCTCACCCTGGCGCAGGCTCAACACAAAGAAAGCAGTGCCCACTGCAGCCCTCTCCATGGGCTTCACTCCATTCCCCAACGTTGACACATGTGCGCAACTTCCTGGTTGCCCAGAGGCCCGCCTCTTTGCGGGGTTGACCAGCCAGCCGATGCTCGGCATGAACAAGCCAAGACTTAGACAAAGCTTCAAGTCCAAGGCTGCCTGCAATGCTCATGGCTTCGCCATTCTCAAGGGCGGCTTGAGTCATCCACAATTGCATGAGGCATTGCAAATATGCGGGGACGAGGCCAATCTTGTGGCCCGGGTGGGGCTGCAGCAGAGATCGGCATGTTGCAATAATAGGCGCTGAAGGCTAACAAAGGGGTGCAGTGCAACCACCTCAAGCCCTCAACCGACCATGTTTGGAGCCCCGGCTCTGAGAGGCCTGCAGTCTTAAGGTAGCACTTCCGTACGGTTCCGTGCGTTTTATCCGCTGGCAAGCCCCGGCTTCAGACCCCTGCCCAACGCCTCGGAGACGTCACTGGCATCAGTGCCGGGCTGCTCCTCCTGTGGCCTCGCGGGCCACGGCCAAATTGAAATGCTTTGGCCGCTCCATGGGACCTACAAGAGTTCTGCCTGCGACCTTTCCCAAGAAGAAAAAAAAGGCGTCCAGCTTGTGACCTCTAGGTCGGTCTTTGAGGGGAGGGGGTGAACGGTAGTGGAAGCCCATGGCGGAGATGCAACTTGTTGGCTGCTGGCTTTCTGGCAATAGTTGGCACAAGCCCCTTCGTCCCGAGATCTAGTCCAACGCCATTCCCGCTCCAGAGTGCTCTGCCGGTCTTGATCTCCACCGCTTTCAAGAACAGGTCCGGGGGAATGTGCCCAGCGGCATCGCCACGTGTCAAGACCTCGGAGGATGGAGGCTTGAGGCTGCCCTCGATGGCCAAAAGATGCCGGAAGGCAACCATGGGACTGCATGAGTTGAGTACCCACAAGTGCCCACAAGTAGAAGGTTTGAAGTGCAAAAAGCTGAAAAGGGGCTCTGAACCCTGCGACAAGACTCCATACCGAAGGCTTCACGTTTCTACATCAGCCGTTGTAATATCACTCCAGCAAAACTTGATTGAAACTGGCCGACAGGGTGAATCACCCCAAAGAGCAGTATTCAGAACAGTTCAGAACTTTTGTGCTACCTTTGCAATATCGCCACTCCTTGCGGGACGAGAGTCTACATTGTTGGATGACCGAAAGAGTTGGATGCCATTCTCCAACGCCTTCGGTACGTTCAAGTATATGGCCACCGTGCAATCTGGCGACGAGGGCCCAAGGTCAGGATGCGTCGCACGCTTCGGTTACAAGGAAGCATGCAACAGTTCGTTATGATATCCACTGATGGCCTCGCAGTCTGACAGGCATTCCCCCTGTTGACGTTTCAACCCCAATGTAAGGATGCAGTTGTCCTCTTATAACTGTCTGTTTTGCTCCAACCTTCCGAATCTGATTTCCTTCCGACGTCAACATCCTCTCGCTTCAAGTGAAACAGCAGGCCCCCTGAGATGCGCAACAGCTCCGCGGTTGGAGCCCAACGCATCTATCCAACGCTTCTCCCAGTCCTGCCTTGGCGCATGCCGCTGATGACGGTGCGCGAGCCCACCTTCCGGGACCATTCTTAGTGGGTTCCTTGTGGCCTCCTGTCTGACAAGGGGCTTCCTGTCTTACAAGCCACGGGGCCCAATACTGCACCATTTGTCACTCCTTCAAATCCTCGGAGTTCAGCAAGTGAATTCAAAATGTACCCCTTCATTTGTCCCGCAGCCCAAAGTGCCCCCCCAACAAAGAAAACAACAGCCACCAATCAACGTATTGAACAAACTTCCAATACGTGCAGCTGGTGTTGCCTCACTGCATCCTTCCCTCTGCAAAATGCGCGCGTAAATTAACCGATCTCGAATGTTGCTTCTGAAAGTGTGAAGTCTTTACATTGATCAAAAGTTGTGGCCACTGCCGCGCTTCTAACGTATTGCCCAAGTCTAAGACTTATCCGACAAGTAGCACAGCGAGTAGTGCTGCCCATTTGTAAACACGACATTGCACAATTATCAACCAGTACTGCTCAAATTCAAGTAGTCTTTTTTTGTGGTGCAGTTGCCAGGTTTTCTAAATTGGCGGATTACTTTTCCTTGACAGGGGGGTTCCTCAACCTATGGCCATGCCGACAGCGTTGCAACTCCACTGAAACACAATGCCCAGCATGTACGCCAACACCTGGAGAAGTGAATATAGTGTTGCCTATCGGCGTACGAGTCCGTACAACAACTCTTGCTAGATGGTTTTGACGTTGGGCCCCGCCGCAAAAACTGGACACGTGCGTTCTTGATCATACTTGACTCTGTCTTTCATGTCTCAAGCCTCGTCACCTGTCTCACACATACATGCCCACAAATCGTGCTGGTTTCTCTCTCCTAGCATGTCTGCGACTAGCTCTTCCCGCAGTACTTTGCAGCTCTGAGCTGCCCTTCGGCTGTGCAGCGCCGCAAGGTCTTACACACACAAGGCATGCACACTTAGACTTGACAGACTTGACAGGCCTGACCATATGAAGCATGAAAGGCTTGAAATCGGTCGCTTGGAACCACGGGTTGCCCATTGCCCTTCCTGTGCTGGGCCTTAGGGCCGCGCTTGCAACCCGCCTCATGCGGCACGAAGTGGATGTGGTTGCGGCCCATGGTCTTCAGACCTGCAGGCGGCGCAAAAAGGCAAGGGACAACTGACTAGGTTTGCGTCCTCTTGGCAGCAGGTTGCTAAGCTGCAGGCCCTCTGTCTTAATGACAGACCATACATCCACGTGACTCTGCTTCTTGGCATGCCAGCGTGAGATGTAGGTGCCGTGAATACCTGGGTAGGCAAAATCAAGGCAGCTTCAGGAATGCTTGTCCGCCAAGGGGGGGGGGATGGGTTGGTCCTTCCACAGACGGAGTCCACTGTGATCTGTTTGGGCCAGTGGACGGGTGCATTGAATGGTAGGTACATTGGAGGCCTTGCCCCATTACTTGGGCTACAGCTGCAGCCAGGCCCTGAGCAAAGAGGCTGCATGAACATAGGGAGTCTGTTCTTGGCTGAGCTCAGAAGAACAGAAATCCTTTGGGCGAGCCCAGAAGCCCATCCACTTTATTAATTGTCTTTGAACCCAAACAAAACCACCCCCCAAACAAAAAGTGGGAACCCGCCCGTTTTGCCCGGCGAAGCGCACACCGGCAGCTCCGTGGCGGAGCGAATGGGCGACAAAAGCTCTGAGTCCTGGACCTGACGCGACGCGTCCTTTTCGTTTGCTTTTTGGTTTCCTTTGCGCATGAAGAAAGTCTCTAGGTTGCCTACCACTCAATGCAGGGGAATGCACAAAATGGGTGAAATGGGTGGATTCCCAGTGACTAAACAGCTCAGAAAAGGGTAATTACCATGAAAAGAAGCCCCCCCCTTTCGAATCGTTGGTTAAAATATTGGGTTCTTCTTTGCGGAGTCCGTGGGTCAATCCAAAGTTGAGACTGAAAAACACAGCAGCTAGCAGCTACAGCTAGTGTTACCCGAGGCGTTTGCACGACCCCTAAAGGAAAAAAAGAACATCCCTGGGTGATTCTTCAGTTTGTCCTCCATCACGAACACGAGGAACCAAAAGCTGACCACCTGGCTGACTAATCAACACAGAAGTGTTCCCGAACTCAGCTGCCACCGTTCTGAAATCAATGACCGAAATCGGCCTCTTTCATCTTGTGGCCCTGGTTGGCACGGACCCGCTTCGTGCCATCCTCCATCCAAAGTGAGAAGCGCTGCTTGCCGTTCACCCGAACCTCCCTCTCCACGTCCAACCTTGGCGCCAAATCCCAGGTCCCGGCCATCATTTGCCACTCGCCAGTCAAGCCTTGACAACTGAACTACGTGAACTATATATAGCCAAGAAAAATGTCCCACCGAGGCACTTCTTGACTTTTCTTTGAGTGAACTGCCAGTCCCAAACAACTTGGGCGAACCCAGATTGATCGAGCTCATACTTCACTACCCGTAGCCTGTCATTGGCAGTAGTCGGTAACATGAGCATTTCCCGAGGTTGCAAGATCCTTGCACAAGAACAAAGCTCGAAAGTACCGGTGATGACACGTGACGACACGGCACCCAAACTGGCAGAGCCCGGGCATGCAAAAACCAACATGATTCGACTGAGCCTTTCCCCTGATCGGAATCCATTCCACGCTGCTCGCCGAAGCCGTTGTGCTGGAAGAACGGCAAGCCCAAGAGCTCCTGACACCCGGTGGGAACACTTGGCATTGCAACGGGGCCTGGGGTGTGCATTTTTGTTCGTTTCAGGGTGCCCTTTTCAGATCTTTTCAGGTTGGTTTAGGGGAACAAAACGGAAAATCAAAATGTTCAGACCCTGTAGCTCGACATATGCCCAGCCAGAAATCATCTCTTTGGACCCCCCACAGATCGCCCGAGATGAATTTAACACACCCGGCCTGTACAGCGTAAGGTAGCGCAGAATATGCGGTTAACCCCCATTAGTCGCAGTTTGAGCTGCCTGCCCTTCCTCCATCAAATGTGTAACTGCAAGCTACGCCCGTGTCCAAGTTGCTTTGGGCGATTTTGAGCATTCGCATACGATTTGTCTAAGGGAGAACGGTGTTGGGGTCGGCCAGGGCCCTATATGTTTCTGAGGATATGTCAAAAACACCAGGTAAGGATACAGGAACGTGCAACATGGCACCCGCTTACAATTGCAAACCGTGCCCAAACGCGGTCCCGCAACGAGCAAAATGACAAGGGTACTGTTTATGGGCAAGCCCCTTTGCTCTGTTGTGGCGTCGCTACGGAATTGCCAGCGAACTCAGCCTCTATCTGGGGTTGCCTTGCGACCGTGTCCCTATTCCGCGAAACAGGGGACACCCCTTATGAAAAGAGAGGGATGCCGATATTTTTAGCGAACACAACATCAAGCACTCAGCTGCATCATTGAAATCCCTAAGGCTTCTACATTCTCATGCTGGATCACTTCCATGTGAACTACAGCCACCCCTTTGACAGTTCACCATTTTTCTGTCGGACCCCTGAGTCGTCCACCAAAAAGGGCCTCGTGTATGTCCAACCTGAAACATAAAAGGAGCAAGTGAGCAGGTTCCATACTAGTTTCTCCAAAAAGGCCCCAAACTGTGTGCTTGCCGCCAAATTGCTCCTCCCCAGCAACAAGCCCGACTCGAATGCCATTTCCACTGCAGGCATCTCCCAGGCTCCTGCACCGCCACTGACCCGTCTGCGCGCATTGCCAGGCCCAAGCGCCGGGCATCGTGGCGCAAAACCTTCCTGAAAACCGACTCGAGACATGGCAAGAGGACGGGACATGAGGGGCCTGCATATGGACATGAGTACTATAGTACTATGAAGGCCAAAGTCGTTGGGCGAGAATGAAGGTTGTAGGTCAAAGATCAATTGAAGTACCTCAGATTTGACCAAGGACTTTATGCACATTATTTGGATGGAATAACTAGAATGGGCCTTTGGGGTACTATAAACTCTCAAACGATGCTAGTAGATATCCCAGTTGGCAGAAACAGGAACCCCGCTTTTGGACTGATCCGAGTGGGGAAGCCACCAAACAGCAAAGAAATCTGCCACTGAACAACTGAAATATGTGCGTCAGGCCAGGCAGTCCTGTTGCAGCCGAATCCTATGCTTGCGGACTTGCGGGCCTAAGCGTATTTCCGAACAGCGAAACAAAGGACAACCCTGTCAAACCGTTAGCGCGTCGTGCAGCTGGCAACACGCCAAACAAGAATTTGGCTCAGGCACGCAAGCAACACACACGTTACATGATTCACAGCCCAGGACAAGCACACGAAGCGATTGAAACAAAACGCGGGCAAAAGAGCTTTTAAAATTCCTGCCATTGTGTAAACCAGAGCGCATGCGTGAGTCACCTTCAAGGGCACTTGGATGTAAATGCAGCGCCCTGGGCTCTGTACTACGAGGACAGTATCACAACCGAAGACCGACTTCTACAAAGCTTGTGGAGGCGGCACATTATCATTATCAAGGGACATCAAGCAGTGCTGAGATTGCTAACCATCCAAGGCACAGGATCTTCTGAACCATTTGAAAACATGGCCTTTATACATTTTTAGGATCGGCTTCCTCGTGCAAACAATGGGCTTGAATATGCTATTGAATGATAGTGATTGGTTCGTATCACGGCGTGCGATTGGCTCCTCACCCTCTCCCAGGGCCAACGTCCAAGCTGCGTCATGTATCGGCTGAGGCGCTCCGTGGACACTTCCGAGGGCACCTGGACATGCTGCCATCTTCCAAGGCATTTTCGGAGTATATCCTTGCGATCCAAGGGCTTCCAAGTTCAAAAGTTAGCTCTCCACAAAGTGGGCTCCTTGAATGCCTGCAATCCATCGGCTGCCCTCAGAACAAGCAGACAAGCCGCTATGAACCCTTGTCCGCAAGCTCGGGCTTCACCTGCCCCGACTTGGGCATGTGATCAGCACATACAAATTAGCATATTGGGATTGTTTTGGGCTTGTTTTTGCATGACAACCCTCCCATGGGGTGAGCTCCTTCTGGATTCCATGTAAATCCACTCCGGATGAGGTACCCCTCGAAGAAAAACACTCCATTACATATTACTTTGTGTTTGCGATTGGCAAAACTCTGTCCCCCGGTAACCCCGCACGGCCTGCCTCGGGCGGTGCTGGCGATAATGCCGAGGGCAGACTCACCACGGACTCCTCTGGCGTCGCCGGCGTGCCTCCCCCGCGGCTGTGGAGTCTGCGCACAAACGGAAGTATATAAAGAACCTCAAGAAAAGGCCCTTCAAGGGTAGCCCCTCTGAAAACCAGTAGAATAACTCACGCGCCTAAAGTAAGGACTCCCCAAGGAGCCTTCATCTCGCAAAATGGCAGTAGGTCTCTTTACAGCCTGCCCGTGACTTGGACGTTGACCACCGACAGCCTCACTTCCTGCCGTCAAACAAGGATTCAAATGCCCCCTGCACAGGCAACGATACAAAAAGCTTCTCTTATAAGGATTCCTGTGGATTCCTGCAGGTTTGGAAACAGCTGTTTTGCCGCATACAAATCGCTGGACAGCAAGATCAAGCAACATTTCAAATTTAAAACCGCCCTGTTGACTGGGCAAATGCTGGGAGACGATGTTTGCGCCCAAGTCTAATTCCAGCAGAAACAGTTCATGCCAAGCTAGCGTGAAGAGCAGGTTTCCAGCGCATCCAACCCATCTCAGATCATTTGATGCGCAGAATTCTAAACGTGCAATGACCGTCCCTTCTCTGTTGCTGGAGCGGTAGGTTTCCACCATGCATTGCTTCGCTCCAGTGTCCATCTTACTAGCTTGGCAAAACCAACATGAGATTAAGGTGTGATGCCACACATTGCCACAGGGGGGGGGAGAGACGGGTGGCTCGTCTTCCCGCCTTCAAAAGCGGCCTCCAAGCGCCCCCGGAGCGCCCGCAGGGGGGAAGCGGTATCCTCGCTGATGCGCGTGAAGAGCACCTTTCACCAATCCGACTGAAAAGCCGTGCGTAGCCCCTTGTTGGTTATCTACAAGCTAGCTGCATACGGCTGTACGTGGGTGATATATTATATTTAATATAGTTTGGAGCTATCACTGGCCAAATTCCTGTTGGCCCTGCTTTGCCCTCGCTTCAGGACGGCAAAAGTAGGCAACTCCAGGTCGATTCTTTTTGGTACTTGCAGTCCTTGCAAGCCACTAGCAAGCTGCGTAGTCTCGAGGCCGTGTACAAACTGCACATTGGGGCGAAAGTGTGAGATGCACATGGAAGTTCCATGCGGGAGACCGCCTCGACTAGCTCGGTGCAAGGGCTCCTGTGCTGAACCTTCTGCTGGATAAGCGCGTTCACATCACGCCACTATCCGAGACTAAACCCGCAGCGTGCAAACTTAGGCGAAAGAAAACCTGAAAAACAAACTTCCTGAAAAACCTGCCTATTTCTTGCCCACAAACTGATAATTATCAAAGCTAAGTTTAGAAGGAACTTCCGTGTTACGGAAACTAATTGACAGCTAGCTCTCTCTGAGACAGATGAAGAGAAGGAATAAGCGCGTGAGAAAATATGTGCGCGCGTGTGTTGGGAGTATAGAAAGCTGCAAAAAGCATGGCCCCGTGCGTGAATTGGTGTCTCCGGAGAGCCGAAAGCTAGCCTGTTCGCGGCGCCTGGTCGGAGCGCGTTCGGACCACGTTCGGAGCGCGTTTGGAGCGCGTTCGGGGCGCGTTCGGACCATGCTCGGAGCGCGGGCCCACGAAGGTTTCGCAGGTTTGAATTGCGTGGCAGGCGCAGCACTTTCGCAAGGTCAGGTTCAGATTTCGTGGCAGGCGCAGCACTTTCGCAAGGTCAAGTTTTCCCAAGGATTGAATGGCGTGGCAGGCGCAGCACTTTCGAAAGGTCAGGTACAGATTTCGTGGCAGGCGCAGCACTTTCGCAAGGTCAAGTTTTCGCAAGGATTGAATTGCGTGGCAGGCGCAGCACTTTCGCAAGGTCAGGTACAGGTTTCGTGGCAGGCGCAGCACTTTCGCAAGGTCAAGTGCAGATTTCGTGGCAGGCGAGGCACTTTCGCGAGGTCGAGTGGCAGGCGCGGCACTTTCGCGAGGTCGAGTACAGATTTCGTGGCAGGCGCGGCACTTTCGCAAGTTTAGGTACAGATAGATAGATAGATAGATGGATAGATAGATAGATTAGAAAGAAAATAGATAGTTAGAGAGATAGACAGGTAGATAAAGAGATAGAGAAGAGATAGATAGATAAATAGATAGATAGATAGATAGATAGATGGATAGATAGATAGATAGAGAAATAGATAGACAGACAGATAGATAGATAGATAGATAGATAGAATTAGATAGATAGACAGATAGATAGATAGATAGATAGAGAGGCAGATAGTTCGATAGATAGATAGATAGATAGATAGACAGACCGACAGATAGATAGATAGATAAAGGGATAAAGAGATAAATAGATAGATAGTTAGATAGACAGATAGATAGATATGTGGATAGATATATGGATAGATAGATAGATAGATAGATAGACAGATAGATAGATAGATGGAGAGACAGATAGATACACGCGAGATAGATAGATAGATAGATCGATAGATAGAATTAAATAGATAGACAGATAGATAGATAGATAGAGAGATAGATAGATGGAAGGATAGTCAGACAATCAGATAAAGAGAGATAGATCGACAGATAGATGGAGATAGAGAGAGAGAGATGGATAGATAGATAGATAGATAGACGGACAGATAGATAGACAGATAGATAGATAGATAGATAAAGAGATAGAGAGACAGAGAGATAGAGATATAGACATAGAGGTAAGATAGATAGAAAGAAAGAGAGAGATAGATAGATAGATAGACAGACAGACAGACAGCTAAATACATAGATAGATAGATAGATAGATGGATAGATCAATCAAAAGACAGATAGACAGACAGACAGAGAGAGAGAAAGAGAGAGAGATAGGAGGATAGATGGATACACACATCGACAGGTAGATAGATAGATCAGATAGACAAAACAGATAGATGGATAGACAAGTAGGTAGATTGATAGATTAGATAGATAACTAGACAAATAGGTAGATAGATAGATAGATAGATAGATAGACAAGTAGATCGAGAAAATAAAGAAGATAGATAGAGTGATAGATAGATAGTTAGTTAGTTAGTTTGTTTGTTTTGTTTTGTTTGTTGTTTGTTAGTTAGTAGCCACCAACCACCACCCACCAACCACCAACCACCACCCACCACCCACCACCCATTACCCACCACCCCCCACCCCCCACCCACCACCCCCCACCCACCACCCACCAACCACCAACCACCAACCACCAACCACCACCCACCAACCACCAACCACCAACCACCACCCACCACCCACCACCCACCACCCACCACCCACCACCCACCATCACCAACCACCAAGAGAGAAAGAGAGAAAGCGAGAAAGAGAGAAAGAGAGAAAGAAAGAAAGAAAGAAAGAAAGAAAGAAAGAAAGAAAGCAAGAAAGAAAGAAAGAAAGAAAGAAAGAAAGAAAGAAAGAAAGAAAAGAAAGAAGAAAGAAAGAAAGAAGGGAGGCGAAGACAGGACAGAAAGAAAGAGAGAATGACGAAGAAAAAAACACTGAAAAGGAAGAAGAAGAGAAAACAGAGTCAAGAGAGGAAAGAGAAAGAGAACTATAGTTTTTATTTGTTTGAAACTTCCGCCCACCGGCTTCGCCGGCTCTACTGGTATAGAACCGAGTGAAAGAACGGAGCGCCCTAGCGTTAGAAGGCCAACGGCTTGCCATACGTCCACCGAAAGCCGCCACGAGGCCCCGACGCCCTGAGGGAAGAAGTCGAGGCCCTGCAACTTGAAGCTAAAGCCTGGAGGCGCGTCGCAGTGGCAAGGGTTGCTCTGAGCGGAATGCTGTCTAACATCTGCATAAAAGAACTCATATCCCCAACAACTCCAAATGATAAATGAGGGTTTTGCAGGCAAATCGCGAATTAAGTGCTGACCACATCAATCCTTGCATAGACATCATAGACCTTGTGGTGGTCTCTCTTCCACACTCCCTCCCGGCAACAATTTGCGTGTGAGCACTTCCGTTGAAGGCAAGGATGATTCCGGCGCAGGGCCTTGAGCTAACCAACATGACCTGGCAAGTACGCCATCCGGCACCAAGTCAAGCGGCTGGTGTGGTTTGCACCAGTTAAAAACTAGTTTGTCCTGCCGGTCAAAGTCGTTGCAAATATGGCTTGTGCCCGCGTTGAGTCAGTGCCCATTTCAACAGATGTGGGGAGGGGGGGGGGGTGAAGGGGGCCTCAGTTGGGTGTCAGAATCGATCTCGAGCTTTACAGGTGCAGGACCAAGCGTGGATGGTCCAAAATGTGGACAAGAAACCGTGTGAATAGTGTGCGAGTATATTCCCTACCGATGCTCTTTGCCAGGTGAATTAACTGATTCAGAAAAACATGGTTGGGCAGACTTGGAATATGCCTTACCTGCCAGAGAAATGCAAACGCCTAGGAACTGCAAAGTCAAAATTCAGAATCATTGACATGAGGGGTGGACAATACGGGTGATGCCTTCACCCAGTTCGAAACCAACAGCGTCCCAAAGCGCCACATACGAGTATTTGGCGAAATGGCCCCTTTGCATCATGATCATTCGCCGCGCGGAAATGACGGGCTTCGTGGCTTGACCTGCCTGCCCCGGCAGCCGCCACATTGTCCAGCTTGGCTTTGGCTGCCTTTGATACAAAGCGTCGACCCCTGCAGAGTCCAAGCTAACAAAGGAACGCACCGCATCTGAACTGCAACGTTTGTTTTTGGTCAGCAAGGCTGCGCATGCTAGTCTGGCACGGCAGGAAATTGCAACACCCCCCAACTGAGCTAGAATTTCCCCACAGCCCGCCCATGGAAGCTCGCCCTGGGCGACGCAATGCGCATTCCCCAGGCACAATGCGTGCAAAGCCCAAGCCTCACACACATAGATGTAGGTGTAGTACTGTGGATGGACGAAATCCTACACCACCTAAAAAATCCTGAATTAATGATTCCCCTATAAATATCAACCACAAATGGTTTCCCATGGTTTCAAAGTCGCAGGATGCCGTCCATCTGCAGCATGTGAGCCGCAATAGAAAGCTATTGAAACTGCCAAGCTTGAACCATACAGGCCAGGGTCGGGCCTCTACATCCTCTGAGGTTGGAAGGCTCAGCAGGAACATGGTCAGGTGCAGCTTGCTAGGAGGGATCAAACACCTGCCACGCAGGTGCCCCCTCGGAGCATGCCCCCGCTTTTGGTGATTGCGTTTGCCTCACAGTTGGCCTGCACGAAACATATTGGCTCAAGGCTTTTCACTCACGTATTGCTCATTTTGCAGTCGCGCGGACCGTCTTCAGTGTACAATCCCACACAGTGGAATCTGCAGTGCAACCAGGCACATCCAGATCAACTCCATCCAATATTTAATATTGGCATATTGGATACTCGTTAATTTGGGACTCAATTGTGGTAGCGGACCAAGTGGGTCCATTCAAGATGTCATCCGATGGGGAAGGCTTCATGGAGGCCTATTCAAACGCAGGCCGGCACCGCTGACAGCCGCGACGAACTGGTTCAGATATGAAGAACTCGTAGATCGTGAGGGCCCTGGCACCGCGGTGGGCCTGCGCAGGCTTTTGGAGCCGTTTGTGGCAGAGCGCCACGACGCGCTTGAGTCGTAGGATAACGGGCAAGCAAGCCAGGCGATTGCTCACCAAGGCCAACAAAAGAGGCTTGGGCTTGGACAATCTGATGCTGAGAGGTTTACGGAATCAAGACTCCAAAGCCCGCAAGTGATTGGACGACAATCACCACGCATCCAAGGGAGAACCTCAAAAATTGAAATCCTTCTCAATAGACTGAAGGATGGACTTGATGCCCGTCTATACAGCACAGTCACCAGAGTATCGCACATCTGTACAGGAGGCGAACCACAGAACAATTGCTCGACGTCAGCAAGCCGCTGGTGCCCGAGCACCGCCTTCAGTACTGCTTGCCGAGGAAGATCCTCAAGTACTCAGGGGCGCATTTCCCTCATCGCACAGATTTTCATAATCCAGAGTGAGTCAGACCAGCAGAGAGAAAGACTCATCAGCGGAATGTCTTTGAGGAACATCACACTCGACAAATACTCGTTCGAGATGTTGAAGACACAGTGCCACGATCTCTTCATCACGACCAGAACATCCATCCAAGATCTATCCAGGAGAAAACCGAAGCAATACCTTCCACATCCTGGAAAAAGGGAAGGAGAAGAAGGCTTCTGAAGATGGAAATGAAGGATTCATGTCAAGCAACGATGGGGAGACATTCTGAGTCCTCGCGGGGAATGATGCGTTCATTGCAAGGAAAGTGTCTGGGCGAAATTTGAGATTTGGAAGAAGAAAGGCAAAGGAAAATTCAGAAACAACAAGGGCAGTCACCAACCCTTGAGTAAACCCTTTCGGACGGGCGAGCCAATGTGGCCAACGAAAACTATGATCCCTACGACCAGGCGTCCTGGCGAGAAGGCAAAGGCAAGAAAGGAAAGAAGGGAAACCCAAATTCCAATATCTTTTTGATGGAAACAAACGTTATGACAATGGTAAAGGAAAAGACGGACGTGACAAGGAACGTCCAAAACGTTCGCAGCCATAGCAGCATCCTATCACACAGCAAGCTGCTACCAGCTGGACAGACCAAGATTGGGATCAGTCCTGGAGCTGGAATGAGACAGGCTGGTATTCATCTTGCGGGATGAAACCATCCGCTGCTGAAGCAAGCAGACCCAGTTCCAGCACACAGTTTGTACGTAACAACCAGTCACAGCCTTTTGGCAACAAAGCTGATGGTGTTTGTCAACAATGGATGTACCAGATCCATGGGCAGCTGGCGTGCAATCCGGCGCTTTACCCAGGCCAGGAAAGACCTCATTTCTTACGAGCACATCCCAGCCGAGACCAAGTTCACTTTTGCCAATGGAGAGATTGCGAAGGCCAACTGGGCCTTACATCTCAAATATCACACGACTCCTCCAGCCAGTATCAAGGAACTCACGCTCTGAAAAATCCGTATCATCAGAAACTATTTTGACCAGCACCAGCTGCAGCCCAAACCAGTTGTAGCAGGTCAAGCCTTTGTGGCTGAAAGCAATCCCTCGATATTGCTCCAATATCGTTGGCAAATCGAGCTGATCCTGAAGGCACCGCTAAAAACAACTCTGTCAATGCAGGAACAGCACCTGCCACGCTCAAGAAGGTGACATGCAGGCAACTGGTGAAGGCAGCTGCAACTGTATCAAGTCAGCCGCGACACCTAGGCGACACGAGCGAGGAAGAGCTGACAGCCATCCAGGTTAAGCAGCTGTCACAACAAGTACTCCAAGAAGCTCGTCAATCCGAAGACATCCGAAGAGACCTTGCGCAGAATATCCGAATGAGCTCGGCACGCCTTCGACATGAGAGTAGGACGTGCACCCGTAAATCGGGATGGATCATGCGAGCTCTACGGACGCCTGGGCGCCGTAGACCATGCGGTGAACTTCTTGGGCAGCAAGCCGGGCATTTCCTGATGACCATGTTTCCGAAATTCGGCCCGACGTTGGTGTATCCGACCAGATGATGACCGAGTGAAGGACTGTTCCCAAACACCGATGGATTGACAACCTCAACAGCAAGGGAGCATACGTAGCACTCCGACTGGACGGAACCAATTTCGTCAAGCACTAGGAGATGAGAACTGTCATGTACGTCAGATGCTGCGGCGGACACACGCGACGTGTCTCATCCATGACAATGACGCTCAATGAGCTCACGTCGAATCATGGAAATTGAATGGCAGGGACCCGCAAGCGTGCCCATGAAAGATCAGCGCCTCACAAGGAGGCTGTTTTGCAACAGTGTACACATCATTTGTCTCAATGAGGCCGATGCATTTCTTGACGGCAACGAGGATAAGTCAAAGGAGCTCATGGTGCTACTCATTCGTCATGGCTACAGGGGCATTGTCAATTGCATGTTTCGTTCGAGGCAACCAGAATGCCAGAGACAATTTGGCAAGATACATTTCGGACAAGTAGATTGCCACCAAGATCCATCATCGAGGGACACGGCAAGAACAAGGAAATTATCGCCCGACGAGTCCAAAGGTGGATTTCCCAAGATCAAGGAATCTCCAAATCCTCATTTCGATCATCGCCATGTGACAAGAGCAGGACTCCCATATGCGATCATTGCAGTATTCCACGTTCATCCAAGCATCAGCTATGGAGCGCAGAGACAGAGAGAGAGATTTCCAACCATCCATCATGCCGCTCGTCACCGAACACATGTGCGATGCAATCGCAGGGGGTGGAAGCAAATCCGTGTGAGAGGTCAAAAAAAGTATGTTTTGTGTTTGCTTTTGCTGCACAGTTGACCTGCTCACCCACGAGACATATTGGCTCAAGGCCCTTTCTATCCTTTCTTTTCACTCATGTACAAGGAAAAGGAGCTAAAGCGGACCATCTTCAGTGTACAACCCCACACAGTGGAATCCACAGTGCAACCAGGCACATCCAGATCAACTCCATCCAATATTGGCATATTGGATACTCCTCGGAATAGATCCAGGCAAGGTTCCGGTTCCTCTAAAATATCGTGCCCCTGGTTTGGGACTCCCCCCCCACCGCCCCGGTCGAAAGAAGTGACTATGTAGCTTGGCTTGCGCAAATACTTGGTGACATGGGGCAAAGCTCCAGCTGTCACAACCCTGCAGCGTCCCAATGCAGTTGCAGCCTCCGACGCTCCGGGGATTTTACAGCAATAGCCAGCTGAACCTTGGGTCACCGCTCGAATCTTGGGATTTCCGCGCCAGCTCCACGAGGCCGGCAACAGCAAGGATGCAATCTGGGTCGCTCTGATTGCTGGGAATACTCAAGGAGTTCAAGGCTCAAGCCAAAGAGCAAAAGAAAAAGGGCTCGTTCTGTGGGGTCGAAGCTGCATGCGGCCTTGTCAGTTTAAAGTGCCCAAAGGAAAGGCCCCCTTGCTGAGCGCCTGCGCATCTTTTTGTCGCTTTCAAGTCTCAGGGCTAAGCCCGTACTTGCAAACCAATTACAACGATGCAATGAGTTTCTATACCAACTGCTTTCCGCAGTCTTGCAAGGAGCGGCATTCTCGGCGGGGTATTTCACACGGCATTGCTGCCAGTTAAAGGTCAAAGACCGTTACATACCGTCATGCAAGGTCAAATTGCATCAGCTTTCTGTGTGAATCTGTTCTTATTCAGCGCCATGGAGCTGGACAAAGAAAAGCAAGTGCGGCTGTGCAGCACCACAAGGGCCAGCGAAAGCCCCAGGATTTGTGTCTCAGCCCCCCACAAAGATGGCACTGGGTGGGGAAATCGCCAGAGACAGTGTCATAAAAAGACTTCCTTTCGTTGCGATACGGCGTCAGTTCAGCCTCTTGATGCTCAAAGTTGCGTCAAGCGTGATAACTCGGCATATCCCAGCACACCACAACCACAAGGGTGCGGAAAATGGCCCCCTTCCAAAGAAATTGCTTGCAATCATTGGGATCTAGGGAATGCTCAAAGGAAGTTCTCTAACGCCGGCTCTAACCCAACAACTGCTCATGCAAGCATGGGGAGATCTGCATCCATCCAAGCTCACATGGCATAAGGGGCAGGCGCGCGAATGCGCAAAGGCCTAAAGGCAAAAGATGAGCCATGGCCAGCTGACCAGCTGACCAGCTGACCAGCGCATGATTCCAGGAAAATCTCAGCAAAGCCCGGCCAAATGGCGGCCTGAATGCACACCTCACTGGAGACTGCAAAACCTGGCCCCATGTGTCTATCCTTTCTGTACAAGGGGTACAAGGTGGGGCAGAAAGGAAAGTTGGTTTCAGAGCTGACGTGCTTCTTTTTGCAAACGGTGAGGTGCCACTACCTATGAACGAGTACCACGCCAACCACCAACCGTTGTTGAAGCTGTGCTGGGAAATGCTGGATAAAACCCTCCGCCTTTTCTAGGACACCTTCGCGGAAAACAATCTGCTCAACCGTGCGCAGCCAAAACCACACATTTGCCCAGAAAAGAACGAGTTCAGTGAATCCCTCAGAAAACCGCGCACACACACACACGCACACCATGGATTTCACATGTTTTTCCCACACGAGGCCCTACGTGGCTTCTGGGCTGAGACCCTGAACTGCGAAATCAGGCGGGAGCCGCGCTCATGTTCATCAGCCGCCAGGCGCGGTT